AACCTTTTAACGACACACACACGCGTAGTAGTGGAAGCTGAAATTGATAAGTTTTCAAATTTTTCTTTCGCGAAGGCATGGAATCTGAAGGGAATCGTGATTATTGTTGCTTGTACTTTTTGAAAGGATTTTATAGTAGATAGTATTGTGGAATTTTGTAACCGAGAAATCGATATGTAATACATTCTGTAATAACTATCTTTTCATTCCATATTTATATGTTAGGAACTTGTTAGGAAATGTGCTATTGAAAAATTTGTTTCTAGTACAGCAAATTTTTTCAAAATTTGCATTGTTCCTTAGCAAGATACACTGAGAGGAAAATATTTGACATTTATGTAACTATAATCGCATAGAGAAATAATTACTATAAATTATATTCAAATTTTTTTTATTAAACTACTATGTAATATTAGTGATGGTAACCTTAGATACATGTTATCATCATAATTTTCCTGCTAGAACAACAAAAAAATATGATTGAGATAAAAAATAATTTCAGTTAGATCAACTCCTCTTTCCCTCAGTAAATCTTACAGTCAATCTACTCTTGCACTATTAGGAACCTAGTAAAATTGAATACAAAATTTACATGAAAGAAAAGACTATAATATTCTCACAACGATTAGAATATCACAACGATATTCTCATAACTTGCGAGGTAACTGTAGTCGTCGAAGCAGTTTCATCGTAGCGAGGAATGAAATGTCGCATTTGCGTCATCTCGAAATGGACTTGAAAAAATGTTTTTTAGATCTCTACACGCGCCTCATCAAAGTAAACATCCCTCGCGTATAATACGTCCGGCAATAAAGTCTCAATGAGAGTTCAAACGCCCGTGGCGCGCGCGTATCTTTAATGTGATCTTTATTTAAACGATTGTAAAATTGTCACACACAGAGCGCCTCGACTCGCGCTCTTAATGGTACTCCGAACCGCAAAATTCGTACGTTTATGAAACGGTTGTGAAACGACCATTAAGAGATACGAAACATTGTCGTGTGTGCATACACATATACACACACACCTTCCATTAGGCATGTCCGCCGCGTGTCTACGAGACTTCACGCCGACGAAGAACGCGAGTGAAGCTTTGATGTGACCGCCATTACCGGGGACAGTTATCATCGTAGTCGACAACTCGGAATCTACGGGAAGTGTTTTGCTGATGCTTTACACTACTTAAACGACTCACGGAGAGCGAAAGAAAGAGGGGGAGGGAAGGATAGGACGATGCACCGCTTCTTACCGATTCGTATATGAGTCATCTTTGTAATTTCTCCATCGCCCGATATAATTTATATTAATTAATAATTATCTGTATATTTCTAGTGATTCAACGAGGTGATAATGCTGTCCTGATCGACAAATAACTTATTCTCATACATCTCAATCCGAACAGATCAATATCACTTTACGTTTATTCCACCGAAAGATATCTACGAAGTTTATCTCTTCACGATTCTAAAGCAAATAAAGAATATCTGATAACTCTTGGAGATATGAATTATGTGCGTTTAGACGACGGTTTCGAGACAACCGACTTCGTGATCGGAGCTCATCTATGCGAAGAAGCAGGAGAAATGTAAGAAGCAATCCGATAGCACGCGTTTGACAAACGTTGGCCTGTAACCCGAAATCCGGCGACCCTTCACTTCCGGAGCGAGCGGCTCGCGTCCACGGCTTTTTCCACGATTTTCTTTTCGGATTACACTATCTCAAGATCAACGCTGGCCGTTTTCTCACATCGCTGTTTCGACCTACTACCTGCTAATTCGACCTGCCCGTCCTCGCTATCGTTTGCGCTACGAAGGCGATGCCACGGCGCGTTTACGGTATCGCGCCAGGGTCTTAATCTATCGGTCGGTTTTTCTTTAGCTCGAAATGAGATGACGTTTCCTCCTCTTTTTCCTCATCATCGTCTTTCTCCTCCTCCTTCTTCGCCGTCGCCTCCGCCTCCGCCGCCGCAGTCGTCGTCGTCGTCGCGGATGTGACAATATTTGTCGCGAGCGGCGACCGAGGCGAGAGCAATAGCGAGAGGACGCGCGTTATTTGCCGTCGTAACATTCCCCGTGGGATGCCGTCTGTTTGCCGAGGCTTTGTTTCCGTCAGTTTCCGTTTCCTGCGCTAACACGGCGGCTTCTCTGTGATCCATCCGATCACCGAATACGCGCACGCGGTCGCTCTTGGATATCAAGATAAGCCGGGTACTCTCTGTCTACTATTACACCGTCAACTGCTGATTAGACGGCCTAGACGGGCGATTTCTCAGCGAGTGTGTTTGCCGTGGCAACCACCGAGGAAGAAAGAGAGGATTCACGGAAAGTTACGTTCGAAGCCAAAAACGCGGCTCAACCGCGGAGACGAGCTCTCGAGGGAGATCGAAATCGTCCGCGATGAAATTCTCGCTCATCAATTTTCGCAAGGCTCGGCGAGATAAACGTGGGTGGGCTTTTAGTTCTATCCTGAGAATCGAAGCGCGCTTCCTTAAGCTCTCATCAAGTCGACTGCACGCGGAAATTCAGGATTCGGCATAATCAGCAACATCGAGTCGGCAACATCGGCGTTTTGCAATGCGGAAACTGCCGCGTCATTATTTTGCGCCAAAGCGCTTACGCACTCGACGTCAGCGATTTCCACAGCGATCGGATCCCCGCAGTACATCGCAGTATTGCTAAAGTACTCGAACCCTTTTTAATCTGTCATTCGAGTGTTCGCTGAGCCGACTAAGCTACCCTCGTTATCGGGTAGCCGCGTCGCGACACCGATCATATGAAATATTAACTTGTGGTTGCATCAGCAACACCATCATCTCAATTTCCGACGCGTCTTCGATCCTGCATTTTCAGGACGAAGCAGGATACGACGACAATTGCGACGGCGGCGGCGACAAAGTCGCCGCATGCCAACCTCGTCGGCGTCGCCTTTGTTGCCGATCGCTCGCTTGTCTTCTTCCTCTTCATCGTTCTTTTCTTCCTTCCTTCGTCGTCGTCGTCGTCGTCGTCGCCGCCACCGCCGCCGTCGCAGCCGCCACCGTCGCCGCCGCCGCCGCCGCCGCCGCCGCTGCCGTCGTCGTCGTCGTCCTCCTCCTCGTCGTCGTCGATTCTTCGCCGTTCCTGAGGAATTTTTCCACCACTCGATCATCCTGGGTGACTTGTTGAGGGAGATGGTCGTCCCGTTCGGATAGGATTGTCCAATGAAGCGATACCGCGAGATCTCGATGGGCGGCGCCCAGGATCCTGGCGATGGTTCTCCAGCCAGGTGACTTCGTGGTGGGGCCCCGTGAGGCCCGAGCGAGAGTCGGCTGGTGGTGGTGGTGGTGGGGGGATTGACATCGACTACTGTGCATTTCCCACGTGCCCTGGGAACCCCCGCGGCATCGTGTCAGCCCCCGCTCTTTGCTTTTGCATGCTCCTTCCACCTCCATCTTCTCCCACACTATCTACTTCTCATCGTCAGCTCTTGGCGAGAGCGGTCTCTCCTTCTGTCTGTCTCACTTTCTTTCTATCCCTCTCTCTCTCTCTCTCTCTCTCTCTCTCTCTCTCTCCGCTTCATCCTCCTCTCTCCCTCTCTGCCTTTCTCTCCACGTGGGACTGAGACCGAGGAATCGACGCACCCGCGGATTTTCTCCCGAGAATCGATTCGGCGCTTCGCTCTCTCGCGCGTGGGTGTTCGGTGATCGGACACGGGGGATCTCAGCTTCTCTCGCATCATTTATTCCGCCAGAGACATCAACGGCAAAAACGCCGAGAAGGCGATCGGCGACGCGTTGTTGCAGGATACACCTACTCTCTAAATTTCTTGGAGTACAATTTCTCTCAGAGAGTAGAGTAAGATGATCGAGTCACTCCGAATTCGAGCGATTTCTCATTCACTGAGAGTGATAAAAATGATTCAACTAAAATTGTAGTTATCTTTGGCTACAAGCATATTTTTTTGCAGTAAAATGGTAGAATTAAAAAATTTCCTTTTCTCGATTATAATTTATAACAATTATTTCTTTGTCTGATTATATTGTTGCAAATTTTTTTTTCAGTGCTCATACAGAGTAAATTCTCCATCCTGAATCGTCGAGTTAATACTTTCACTCGAAATTGAAGAGTGAATTTCACGTGTTCCACCGCCGCAGGAATAATCATTCGCTCTAATCAATTGAAACACCGGCCTGTATAGAGTTGAAATTCACCCTGAGCTGAAGAGTGAAACGTGTGCATTCTTACAATTCTGAGAGAGACAGTATTTCCACAATTGTTTCGAATAAATTTTTACTCAGCTTGGATTAGATTTTAGTTCAAGAAATTTAGAAAGTACGAGGTTTGGTGAGAAACGCATAACGAGAAGACATCGGTGGCTTTAGCTTTTGGGTAAATGCGCTACCTTCGTAGTCTGCGGTCTGCTTGGGCTACTACCTCCGCGGGGGGTTTCTTTTTGGGAAAGGGCGAAGGCGGAAGGAAGCGACGGCTCGAGAGAAAGAAAGAGAGAGAGAGAGAGAGAGAGAAAGAAAGACAGAGAATATGTCAAAGTGGTATTCCAATACTCCAGAGAAGAAAAGAGTAGGGGAAAGACAACGCGAGATTACACCAGAAGGGGTCTCTCGGCGTGGGCGAAGAGGGATGCTCTCGTCTCACGATTACGAGGGCGGGCCCAGACGAGGTTAGGTGGAAGGGATATCGGGACTTGCGGAGCGTGGAAGAGAGGGAGCAGTTTCACTGGGACACACACGCGGGGGAGGGGGGGTGGCAAGGGAAGGTAGTCTCGAGCAGCGAGCGGGAGCTCAGGAAGCCGCGTCGACGAAGGATTTGTGAATAACCGCGCTGCTATTCGGCGACCGGGTGAGACAAGGACGGCGCACAGAGCCCGGACAAGGCGCGCGGGCGCGCGCACGCTACCACTTCTTCCCTTCCTCGTCGAGCTGCTGCTCTTCATCATCGTCTTCGCCTCTTCCTCTACCGAGACCCGCCGCCGTCACCCTCTTCCTCATTTTCCATCTTCTGCTCCCGTTCCACCTCCGCATCCTTCCCTCCGCCTCCTCCTCGTCTTCCACCACCACCACCATCATCATCACCACCACCTCCTCCTCCTCCTCCTCCTCCTCCTCCACCATATGCTCGTCCACCTCCCTCGCCGCCTCTTTTCTACCTCTACCAGCGCAACGAGGTCGAGGAAGGAACATCCTGGACATGTACGTTCCCCGTTGAATCGAGGGAGGCTGCCTTCACACGAACGACAACTGGTGGGCACATCGGTGAGTAGGTTCGGTAGGGAGGTGTCTCCCGGTCCTCCAACCAGAAGAAGCGAGACGACGACGACGACGACGACGACGAAGAGACCTTTGGCGGTTACACACTGCGTCCTACCGTCTTCTGGTGTGTGCCTACCTATTCGGGCTACCAGCCAACCGAGCGGCCAAACGGAGCTTCAGTCGACGCCGCGCGCCCAAACGGTCCAGACCTGTCAGCCCGGAAGACACACGCGCAGTATCTCTCGACGCTTTCCGAACAGATCAGTTGATCGTACATCTCGCAACGAGACCTAACCACCTCGACTGTTGGCCGCGTGACACTAGTACGCGATTTGCTTCGCAACCAAGCCCGTCGCGCACGCATCTCGTGAGTTCATTTCGTTTATTCGTTGTCAAAAGTTCGCGGCTTTCCAGCAAGTTCCAAGACTTCCGCGCACGGAGAGAATACCTATCCATCGGACCTTGCTCGAGATCTTCTGCGTTCACGTGCTTCCCACTACCCTTGGATCGGTAAGTTCGACTTGTTTTTATCACGATAGAGAAAATTTTCTTTTTTTTTCCATAATCGTCCAACTGTGCAGTTTACGCACAGCGATTTACACCCGAGGCGAAGCTTACGCATGTCGCATGTATATCGTGGTAATTGACCAGAACACATCGTTACTTACACGAGACGATACTCGCGATGACGTTGACAAGGAGGAGAGGGAGGAGAAGGAGGAGACACGGATTACTCGTGTCGCCCATAAGTAGGATATCCTTCACGAGACTGGTGCGTCAAAGGCGCACCAGTTCCTCATCCAGATTCCGTAGGGAGGGTGAAAGTGAGATATCCCTACTACGTGCGCTTTCTACCGTACTCGCGTTCAGTTATGCGAACGAAAGATCGAGTGGGAACAGGTGTGGTCCACATTCGTTTGCGCATCTCGCGTCTTGTTCGCGAACGATCACCTCGAGACCTGTAGGCGAGCTATAGGGCGGTGCGCAGTAGCCGCTACTGTTCTGATGATAATGATGACGATAATGATGGTGGGTCGTCAAACACCTCGTCAGTTCTCCGCGATAATGTTACCTTGACCTCTTTCGGGTTTTCTTTACGGGCTGTCCTGGGATATTTATCTTGTAAGACGGGGATATTTATCTAACTAAGACACGAATGTTCAAATAACGAATTCTGCTTCTGCCTCGCAAGCAAAGCATATTTTTGACTAGCAATTTCTCGCTGACTCGATTCGCTTGTCGCGCTGAAAAGGTTTTCGCTCATGATTGACAATCAGAACCAGCGTTTCTAGCAGGTGAAAGAACAAAGTTATTGAATGGATATTAAGTAAAAAAATTCGTCCCTTTCTCCGCGATTCGTTTCCAGTGATGTCGAGCCTCTTTTGATGAGCAAAAACCTGACCATCGCGGTCAATCACACACGTTGGAAAACGTTTCTCGGTCTAATCTTATCTGTGTCCTTCTTGATCATCTGTCACGCGTATCGCAAAGCTTACGCAGAGCCGACCGCACAGCTCTTCGGCGGTGATTCGTCGCGAGGTACCATTTTTTTTCCGATACCGTATGAGGAGCGAGCGACGCGATAGGAAATTTCTTTCTTAAGGTACGCCCTTGCGTGATCGCTCGATTAGTACTCGCGGGTCGACGTCCAGCGGCCGCTCGAGGGTGTGGTCCACATGGTGGATTTCACCATCTGTTCGGTAGCGACTGGCCGAAAACCGGTAGCGGTGGTAGGGCGGTGCACAGTAGCAACTCTGGTTGGCTACCGCTCCTTTCTTTATTCCTCTATACACGCGAGAACGAGTGCACGCACATCGGCTCGCTCCTCGGTTGGTCGTTCTCCGTTCTTCTTCGATTGGCTGCCGACTGCTTGTTCCACGCACTCCGCCCTGCCGCACGTACAACGACTGTGAGTGCGAGGAACAAAAGCAGTCGCGCGCGAGTGCGCTTACGCGCCTATCCAATTTCGCCGGGGCCAATTTGTCGGATCCCGCCGACTCGGATCGCGAATGCAAATAAGAGGCGCCTCAAATAAGAACGTCGATCGATCTGTTCGAGAGACGCACAAATTCTTGTCAATTCTCTGGCGATCTCCCAAACATTCTCTCGAGGTGAAATTCTCCGGGCAATAATACGTCGGTAACGGTGCTGCGATATTTCCGGCGTCATAAAGTCATTTCTGGTATAACTGGTAGTTTTTACTCAAAAAAAAAGCGCGCGCACTCTGGTGATTTATTATACTTGATGCGTGGAAGAGAGACTTCGCTGACTTGTGTCCGATTTACGACGATTTGCCTGTTTTTTTTTGCGCTCGAATATACTCGAATCAATATTCATAAATAACTCACAGATCATCCGCGAGCATTACGCGAGAGAAAGAAAAAGAGAAAGAGAGAAAAGAAGAGAGGGGCATGAAATTCATTTTAATTGCTTATCTAATCGCGGGATTCCGTTCACGTCGCGGGAGGAAGCCCCGCCGCTTGATTATTCCACGCGATGAGGTCGCGAGGTACAACAAAATTCACTTTCGCGTAGTTCCGCGCATACCAAAGTCGCTTCTCGCCGCCTATTGGCAAATCTCCCTCTAGTATGGCGCATTCATAAACGCGAGCGCGTCTACATATATATCACATTATCATACATTATCATACATTAACATACATTAAACCAAAGCATTCGATCACGCGAACTCGGTGAGCAAACATGGTAGCCGGCACTTCTTGTGATACACGCGACGCGCACGAACGCCGTGGTCGGGACGTGGTTACATCAAAGTCACAAATATTACTTCGGACTGGTCTCCTTACCCCGAGGAAGAACAGGAAAAAAAGAGAGAGAGAGAGGTATCGGTCTTTCTCCGTTATTTGCGACTGTTATTTTGACGGCGATCGAATTCACCAGACTTGCGCTGATTATCGGTGCAGAATAACATCCATTTATCATCGCCTTCAGCATTATCCGCGCGTTCTCATTGACACATTGCGCGCGGGTGTATAATGTAAGAGCTGAGCGTTTACACACGCCAGTCGTTTTTCTCCGCGACCGGCTCATTAACGCACGACTCATTAACTGCGCTTCGCGCAAAGTGAGAAGAACCTGTTCCCTCCGCATGTTTCCGCCTCGAGTAACACAGGCGTACCTCGCGACCTCGTAACTCTTCGACGGGACTGCCACGTAGTAGCCGACGTATCGTTCGTTTCCACGGGTCGCGTATCGCCGTCTCGTGACGGGGAGAACGGGCCACGATCGGTTCATGATCTGACAGCGAGACGATTCCCGAAGGGGACTCGGAGTCGAGGTCGAGTTTAGCAGAAAAATTGAATTTCTCGAAGTGAAATCTCTCACTGCGAAAACAGAGCGATCGCTATCCGGTCATTCGAATTTCAGCGATCTTTCACCTATACAGAATGAATTTTCTGTTCTGAATCGAACGTTTTCACTCGAAATTGAAGAGTAGATTTGATGTACGTTACATTGATGTTTCGATACATGGTTGGATGGTTCAATGAGAAAACTTTTGGAAATTAATCAAAAACAAGTTCTCTCATTGGATCATCTCTCATTGGCATTTAGGCTCCTGTTAATAGTCGTGAAACTTGAAACTTATGCCACGTGAAATATTCAAATCCGAAGTTAGATTTTTGAACTGAGTTTTCATCTGAATCATACGATATACATATGCAATCGCGATTCAGCCGAAAAGCTCACATCTAACTCAGATCCGAGCGTCTCTCACTTCTGAGGTAGGTTTTAAGTGTTGGAGAAATTCAGAGAGCGGTTCCTACGATTAAAATGTTTTGCTCCTCAAACTTTAACAAGACGATCGTCGCTGCTGCATGAAATGAAGCGATTAAAAAAGCCGCCGTTCTCCTCGTCGAGCGGCGCGTTTATCCAGGTGGAGCACTCTCGTCTGCCCATCTCCTCTCGAGTGGCGAAACGCCCAACGTCGGCCGCTCTATTGTCGATAACGATAATATCGTCGCGTATTGTTTCCGCGCGCAAAGTGTACCGCTATCGGCGGACGTTTTCTCGCGTCAAGGCCCGAGTCAACGTCGCGGACCAGGGAGAGAGAGGCCGGGCGGGGAGGCTTCCTCCTCCGGCGAGAAAGAGCGGCGTGTCTTTTTTACAGAATGCAGAGTCGCGTGTGTAATGCGCAGTTCCGATTAGGCTCCACCGCCCGTTAGCCACGCTAACCAACCGGGCTACGCCCAGGCACGCTTATTACTCATTCGGACACGCCACTTTATTCGAGCGTGCGCCGTGCACGCTTTAATGCCATGCCGGTAGCGACTGGCCCGGGCTTCCGTGCGATGGCCGCGCGAGCGATTGGTACCCGCGGGCCACTCTTTTCCCCGACGCATCAGTCCCAATTCGAACCGCACCACCATTAGGAACGGCCCTGTTCGATTACGACCCCTCATCTGTATTCAACGGCTATCGCACGCGGGGACCGGCATTTTGAGAGTGATGTTCGCGCGAGAGTCGCGTATCGCGTCGTTCTTCTTCCTAATTTCATCATCGCGAACGGCATGAGCGAGAAATTCCGATTCTTTTCAGTATACGCGAGAGAATAAGGAGCGCGGTAAACGATGATAGAATTTTTGGAAGTAAAATTCCGACGCATATGTATGTGGTTTTTATCGAAATCACTGTACATCACCTTCGAAGCTTCGAGAGTTCTTCTCACGCGGCCGGTCGGTTATTTACGGAACGGCGTCTTGGATAAATTCAATTTGGAAGTCGAAAGTAGCCCGCGTTAGACGCGCCAAAGTGGATCGAGACGATCTGCCGTTTCTTCTCGGGCAACGAGATGATCTCGGGAAATGTTCTCGCGATTTGCGCGGCGCCGACTGCGAACCTAATGATTATGGGAGCGCATTCGCGGCGCGCATTTGTGGCGCTAATAACGTGGTCGCTTCTACCCTCCTCGCTTAGCACGAAAATGCGTACAGAATATCTCACGCGAATGAAACTTAAAACCAGACGTTTAAAATTAAACACGCCCCGAGCGTATGCGCGTCCACGCGTTGGAGTTAATGATGTGAAGTGCAAGTTTCGCAGAAGCAGCCGCAGAAGATGAAAGGTTCATCTTTTTTACGTTAGAACTTGAAAGGACGCATGTCTGTGAGAGTAATTTCACGATGCGGGATTCATTTGGAATCTGCGCGAAGGTGCCGTGCGTTCACGGTCTCACTTATCGAACGAAGAATCATGCATCGACCTTTGACTGGTTGACACTCCCCGTCTGGAACAACGCCGCGGAATCAAACGGAGGAGACGATTGCAAGATCGACCGCGAAATGCAGTTGCGAAGCGAAACTTGCCTGACATTTATACGAAAGAGTATCACGCGTTCTCTCACTCATAGAAACAGCAGTATCGATCACTTTTCGCGCCGAAAGGTTATCATATCTCGAATCGGTAAGCGCCTCGCCGAATCCTCGCCAAATCCTCGCCGGCGCGACGCTCGTCGAACGGACTCTCCTCGTCGTCCTTTGTACGCGAGCACTTGGCCGTGTCGTTGATCGGGCGCGATCCCAATAAAATATCGGCCGAATAATTCAACTCGGAACATTCCGCGGGCCGACCATCAGCATGCACTCACGCGTCCCGCCACCTACGCGCCGTGCGCGTTTATAAGGAATGCAAGATATTTCAGAAGTTGCGCCCCGACGTGTTACTAACCCGTCGCTCGTAGATCGGCGTCTCGCGTAAATATCGTCGGATACGGGCCGTTCCTCGCGAATATACTCCGATCTCGCGCGCGCGACTCTGGTGATTCCCTCGAGTGCGCGAATCATCGATTCTGTGCTCTTTGCAGGCAGCGATACGAGGATCCTCTCGCGACGTGGTACAAGCAGTGATCTCACTCCCAGGAGTCGGCCGTGCTCGAGACTAGCTTTGCGCGGGAGGAGAAGAGCGAGTCGAGGAACGACAGATAAAGAGAGAGAGAGAGAGAGAGAGAGAGAGAGAGAGAGAGAGAGAGAGAGAGCGCGCATACGAAAGTCAGCGAACGCGACAGAGATAGATAGAGAGTGCACGACAGAGAAAGAGAGAGGGAGAGAGAAAGAGAGCGAGAGAGAGAGAGAAAGAGCGAGAGTGACGAGGTGTACCGAGAAAGGAGACAGAGGGAGACAGAAGAAGTGGTGGGAGTGACTCCGGGCGTTAGCGAGAGAGCGAGAGAGGCGGGTAGAGGGAAAGGAGAGACAGAGACTCGACCAAGAGAAGGAGCGGTGGGAATTTATAAGGATGTTCGCGATAATGCCGATGGAGACAGAGGGGCACGGCAGGGAGTTCGGCCGGCGGCAGAAGATGCGCGCCAAGTGCACGGTAGAGTTCGTCTGCAAGTACTGCCAGCGGCGCTTCACGAAGCCCTACAACCTCATGATCCACGAGCGCAGCCATAAGGACGACGTGACCTTCACCTGCGAGGTCTGCGGAAAGTCCTTCAAGCGGCAGGACAACCTCAAGCAGCACAGGTAACGTCGCCGTCGTTCGTTCCTTTTGTCTTATCGATATCGCGCAGTTTCTTTTCGTTTTTACCGTGCGTTTTGTTCCGTGCATTTCGGTTTCGAGGATTGCACCTTTCGTTATTTTTTCTTTTTTTTTTTTCGCACACGTTCGCACGAGAGACACGATCTAATGCGCGATCAATCGCCGCGACCTCCGCGAAACGCTCTTCAGGGGGTCCTCCTTCTTTCCGCGAGGGACCCACGCAACTTTGCCCCGAAGTAGCAAAAAAGTATCGGCCATGTGACGGAATATCGTGGCAATCTATCGCGCGAGTCGGAACGTCAGTGCGTGACTCTCACTTGCGAGTACTTGCAGTTCTCGCGAACGTGATTCGAGTAATGTAATAGAAACGCCCTGAAGATAGATAGATAGAGAGAGAGAGAGAGAGAGAGAGAGAGAGAGAGAGAGAGAGAGAGAGAAAGAGACGTTTCCGTGATGTGATTTCTGGCGCCTTCTTCTGGACTCGCGATATCTCACGCGGTGCGACGGTACCGGGTACGGCGCGGACAAGACGTTCAGCACGGCGGAACTCGAGGAGTCGGGCTGATAATCAACTGAAATCAACTGTCGTTGGCTGTTGCGTCACGCGGCTCTATCGCGGCGATCTTCGTATTGCAGTTATTATCCGTGTACGCCGCGGACGACGAGGACGGGAATCGTGCGCGTCCGCATCGATCCGCAGCGGTATCGACGGTCGCCTCGTTACAGCGCGCGACGAGCAGCGACTTGTAATTGCAAAACTCGAGATTACACGAGAGATTTGTGTTCTACGACGTTCGAGCTCTTGTTCGGTAATCGCATAAGAACGCACGGCTTCGCGCGTAACTTCGATCAAGGCGCGAGATCGATGCAAGCGCTTTGGAAGCAAACCGGTCGGGTCACCGGTTCGACCTTTGGCAAAGTCGAAGAGAAACGGTCGGCCGAAGAGCCAGTACTTCATTTCGCGACGCGTCTCGCGGACTGACTTACCGAGTCGAAATTTTCATTCTGCTTTTGAGCTCAATGTTCTACTCAACACCTGTTGTGATACTCTGCAGTCTCTGTCTTCCGATTTTACTTGACCCGCCAAACCGCTAAACTTTACCGAGAGGTACTCTTTAGAATTTACACACGGCATTTTGTGCGTTTTTTTTCTGTCATTTAAAGGCGGCAGGCACGACTTTAGTTTCCATGTGTATCGGACATATACTTCAGAATATACAGATGTTGGAAGGTTCAGGCTGAAAGCGGGACTGAAATTTCGACTCGGGTTTGCTAGCGACGGGCCGGCTTCGCGAGCCGAAACGGAGATATCGTGCGCGCAATGACGGGCAATCGATATCATGGAAACGTCTCACGGTAGTCCCTCGGTGCGACCGTCAATTGACGACGCTCGCGTAAAGCGTTCCATGCGTGAGAGGTGCGTCGATTCCATATAAAACTGGAAGAACGCAGTGTCGACGAGTAAACGGGAAAACGCGATGAGAATCGTTGGAGAAGTGTGCGAGCAATTGTTGCGCGCGCGAAACTAATTTGAGTGCATGAGAGAGTGACAATGATGACGTCATGTTGCATAGCAGAGGATTGCATAACTCCCGTGTGTCAAAATCGATCATGATTGATAATCTCTTAAAAAAGCGGTCATTAAATTTTTAATCCGCGTCGTATAAATATTCAATCTGCCGCGTATTACCTGGTTGTTTATTCAAGCTAATGAATTTCTACACGTGTGTCGCCGCGTTCTCTGTCTCTCTTTCGTGTATAATGCAAATTCTTTGTCTTGTCAACAATATAATTCGTCAGCTGTCGCGCGATACCGACCGGGTTTCGGCTGACAAATGTAGATCAGTGAATTAAGGGCGGAGAATTAAGACACACAAACTAGCGCTAAAGCGGTCACGGTGCTGGCCTCGAGAAGGTCAAAACCAGCGCGGTTCGGCCGAAGGAGGCCGCTACCGCGTTGACCTTTCGCATCGATAGCCTTGTAATGTTGCAACGTGTCACCTTCACCCGCCTCTCGGCGGCGGATAGAGGCAAGAATCGGGAGAGAGAAGAGATCCGCGAAGATCCGCGAACTTTGCACTCCTTCTCTCGCCTACGGGCGCGAGTCGACGGCGGCGGCGGCGGCGGCGGCGACGACGAGTCGGCGAGTCGGCTCGGCGAGTCGCGGTGCGGTGCGCGAGAGAACCCCGTAGGCCCGATCGGCCTGACCCATAAATCAGTCTGAAATAATGCTGCCCCCGCATGGAACGTGTGCGCGAGCGCGTTTGAACGAGCGAGCGATAAAATAAATCTTCAATACTGGTGGATACTAATGGATACCTTGTATGTAACGGCGGTGGTCTTGTTTTCTGTTCTGTTGTAGATGTGGGTGGCGGTGAGCGGGAGCTCTGAATCTCCTGCACCTTGACACACGCACACACACGCGTGAGCGCGCGCATGCGCGCACACGCACACACGCACACACAATGCACACATTCACAAATAGAGCAACAACAACTACAGCAACAACAAAGCCACCACCACTACATAATTACACGACACAACCATTACTGTTACTCTACTACCACAAAGTATAACCACGCACTCTCATTTCAATCACCCGCACTTTTCCCGGTCGTGACGAGAGCGCGACCAACAACTATGTACCGCCACCACAAGAAACCCCGGCATGCGTATATATTTTCTTCTTCTCACACTACTACTACTATTACTCTACTACTTGTTCATACTCTTCTCTCTGTCTACCATTTCCGCTACTTTGTCTTCTCACTGTGTCTGCGAATCTTACTGCCCTCACTACAACTACTTCGTCGTCGGCTATTTCTAGTACTAACACACGGCGCGCACGGGTCCCACGCTCTAACGAGGCGGCGGGAATGATTGATAGATAGGAAGAGAGAATTTAGAGAGTGAGAGGAGGGGAGGAAGCGAGGGCTTTCCCTGGAAGTGTACTTTCTTCACCTTCCGATTTCGACCATCTCTGTTCCAGGAGCATACACTCTGTTCCCTACAAGGGCTCCAACGGCTACTCAAATGGCTATTCAAATGGCTACTCTAGGTATTAGAAGCCATCCGGCCAACTATCCTAAAATCCCGTAGGCACGCGTTTCTCTTTCTCTATCGAGTACTTTAACTACATTATACCAACCAGTTCTCCCCGACATCCCTCCTCTAGTTTCAACGATCCTCCGTGTCGGCACTCCGACGACGGCTTGACGACGACGGTTCGCGGTAAATGTCCTGTCTGTGAATCACGAGGAAGTCGCGAGGAAATCGCGAGAAAGTCGTGAGGCTCCATCGAGTGGTTATTGTTATTTTTTTCCCAATTTTTCGGTCACCACCTCTCACGCTCGATTCATCCCTCCTGCTTCTTCGATATTTTTTTTCGCTTTTCATCCATCCTCCTGCATCCATCCCGAGCCTACATCCAGACGTCAGCCACATCAGAGGAATCTACGACCTACCACCATCACCACCACCACCACCACCACCACCACCACCACCACCACCACCAACCACC